CTACCACCACCAAACCTTTTTCTTCTTACCTAACGCAGAGTGGCCAATTTTGACATTACTTTAAAAAAGAAAAATAATAATTATTTCTGATTGGTGCGAATCAGACCGCTCATTTGCTATATATCTGATACAAACCATCCCACTAATCTCTCGAATAATTTTACCTTTGATTCAGATCTTTTCATCTTCATCTTTCTTGGAAAATCTCAAATCCATCTCACGAGGAAAGCAGGTTTGTGTCTCCGATCTCTCTTTCTCTCTCGTTTTTCACCAATCATTTCCGTTTCTCGACATAAAACGAAAACTTTGATAGGAATTTTTTCGGACAAGTGATTTAACTTTTGTGTAATTGGGGCCTCCTGCGTTTTTGCGTTGTGATCTATGATTCTGTTGTTTAGATCGATATTTGGGTTGTAAAGTGATCGATTCTTGGGGTTGGTGTATGCTACGGTCGTAAAAAAAAAAAAATTGAGATCTGTAATAGTCTTTGTCATGTTGATTGAACCCAAATTTTGTTGTTGCATGTATCGATTCTGCGTTAGAACTTAGAAGAATATAATTTTTTTTGTTTGTTTGTCGTAGAGATTTTGATTCCTGGTTAGAATCGTTGAGTTTATTATCACTCGATGCAAAGTTTGGCTTCTGGTCTCATCAGTTAAGGAGATGTGTTAATGTGTCTTCTTTGTTCAATCTTTCTTAGATTTGAGAGTGGTGAGATGTTTGTTTTTTTTCAGAAAAAAAGAGAAAGACCAATGGCTGTTCAACCTACTAGGATTGGTCTAGCTGGACTAGCTGTGATGGGTCAGAATTTAGCTCTCAACATTGCAGAGAAAGGCTTCCCAATCTCTGTTTACAACAGAACAACTTCCAAAGTTGACGAGACTGTGGAACGAGCCAAGAAGGAAGGGAATCTTCCTCTCTATGGCTTCCATGACCCTAAGTCTTTCGTCGATTCGATTCAGAAGCCACGTGTTATAATCATGCTTGTTAAGGCCGGTGCGCCCGTCGACCAGACCATCAAGACACTCTCTGCTTATTTGGAGAAAGGTGATTGTATCGTGGATGGTGGTAATGAATGGTATGAGAACACCGAGAGGAGAGAAAAAGCCGTGGCTGAGAACGGTTTACTTTACCTTGGAATGGGAGTTTCTGGTGGTGAAGAAGGTGCTCGTAATGGCCCATCTATGATGCCTGGTGGCTCTTATGAAGCTTACAAGAATATCGAAGACATTGTTCTCAAGGTTGCGGCCCAGGTTAGGGATAGTGGTCCCTGCGTGACTTACATCGGGAAGGGCGGGTCTGGAAACTTTGTCAAAATGGTCCACAATGGGATTGAGTACGGTGATATGCAGCTGATTGCAGAAGCTTATGACGTCCTGAAATCTGTTGGTAAATTATCGAATGATGAGCTTCACAGTGTGTTCACTGAGTGGAACAAAAGTGAGCTTGAGAGTTTCTTGATTGAGATCACAGCGGATATTTTCGGAATCAAGGACGATAAGGGAGATGGGCATTTGGTTGACAAGGTTTTGGACAAAACCGGCATGAAAGGTACCGGAAAATGGACTGTGCAGCAAGCCGCTGAGCTATCTGTTCCTGCTCCCACCATTGAATCCTCTCTTGATGCGAGGTTCCTCAGCGGGCTAAAAGATGAACGTGTGCAAGCAGCTAAAGTCTTCAAAGAAGGTGGGTTTGGCGATATCTTAACCGACCAAAAAGTTGACAAGAAACAGCTAATCGACGACGTGAGGAAAGCTCTTTACGCATCCAAAATCTGCAGCTACGCGCAAGGCATGAACCTAATCCGTGCCAAGAGTATCGAAAAAGGCTGGGGCTTGAAGCTAGGTGAGCTAGCTAGAATCTGGAAAGGAGGCTGCATCATCAGAGCTATCTTCTTGGACAGGATCAAGCAAGCTTATGACAGGAACGCAGAACTGGCTAACCTCTTGGTCGATCCTGAGTTTGCAAAAGAAATAATCGAGAGACAATCCGCTTGGAGAAGAGTCGTCTGCCTAGCTATCAACTCGGGTATTAGCACACCCGGTATGTCAGCGAGTCTCGCCTACTTTGATTCATACCGAAGAGAGAGATTGCCCGCGAATCTCGTCCAGGCTCAAAGAGATTACTTTGGTGCTCATACATATGAAAGGACTGATGTTGAAGGATCATTCCACACCGAGTGGTTCAAGATCGCAAGGCAATCAAAGATCTGATGAT